TTGGCAGCTGGAATACTCTGTCTTTTGGCATGAACAGTGGCTATGAAATGGCACAGGATCTGGGACTATACGGATTTGTATCCATGGATGAGTACGAAGCTGGCGTAGAGGCAGCCAATACGTTTGTAGATCTACTGCAGGTTGGCGAGAATGTTGGCAATGATAATAATGAGACATCCGCTGTCTATGTCAACCACCAGCCGGGAAACACGGCCATGGACTCCAGATTTGATGGGTTTCGTGATACCATCACAGAGGCTATACCAAGTGTACTAGTGAACGAAGTCCGCTTGAAAGAAGGACAATCAGACCAAGAAACATTGCACCACCTAACAGAAGCATTCCAGCAAAAATGCCCCACCATGGTCCTGATTGGTTCACCAGTCCTCGAGGCTACCACGGCGGCCCTCTATGCCAATGGGTGCGCACTATCCAGCACCACTATTGTAGGAACCTTTGATACCACTCCCGACGTCTATGCTAGCATTGCCGTCGGAAAGCTGGCCTTTGCAGTCTCCCAGCAGCAACACTTGCAAGGTACGCTTCCTGTCGTTATGGCGGCTACCTATGTGTCAACTGGTCAACGACTGGCTCCACCCAGCCAAAGCAAATATGGGATCTACAGCTCTGGTCCGTCCATTGTCACTCTGCAGACACTACCTTCGGATACCATACAGGCATGCGAAGCAGAGGGATTTCCAGTTTGTGCCCCGGGACAAGCTCCCATAAAACTGGGTGGTGGATGTCCTTGCACACAACGATCCAAAATCACCATTGCCGGGTGTCATTCATGGAGACAACACCAAAGGCTGGGCACGCTTCACCGAAGCGCAAGTCCAGCAAGCCGGTCTAGACACAGGAGTGGATTTGCAGTTTGAACTATTCAATCGACAAGAATCGAGCGAGGTTATGCATGCCAAAATGGCCAGCAAAATCATTAGCTACTGTCGGGCCGGTGTCCACGGTATCTTTGTCTCCATACCCAGTACGGCCCTCATCCCCGCAGTTCGCGAATGCCTTGATTTGAACATACCCGTCATGTCGGTCAATACCGGAGCCGAGTATGCAATAGACGAGCTCCAACTCCCACATCACATTGGACAACTCGAATACACGGCGGGGTATGCCGCTGGAAAGTACATGGCGTCGCCACAGCACGGCATTGACAAAGTCATTTGTATCCGGCAAGACCAAGACAATAAGGCTCTCACAGAGCGATGCAAAGGATTTGAAGCAGCCATTCGAGAAACCAATGGAGCTGTAGAATTCCTCGGTAGACCCATTGTAGGAGTGGACAATGTGGCTGGATTCATTCACACGGTCAAAGAATTTGTTGCGAATCACACGAGCGACAACACATGGGATGGGCTTGGAATGCTCGAGCTAGGTACCAAGTATGTAGACGCCACTTTGGGTCTGCGACAAGATCACCCTGGAATGCAGTTTGGCGCCTTTGATACCTCGGGGGCTCTCTATAATGCTTTGGCAACCGACGATATCATGTTCGGCATTGATCAAGTGAGTATAACGTACATATTCATGAGCGTCCTGCCCCCGTAATACTCAAAGAAAAGTGTGTTGGTCTCACGTTCTTTGCGCTTGCTTCAGAGCTTGTACCTGCAAGGATACTTACCAGTCTGGCTGTTGACGATGATTGCTACCACCAACCAACATTTGAAGAATCGTTACATTGAAACTGGACCAACCCTCGTCCTCGAGTCGGCATCCAAAGAATACCTGTCATGCCAAGCTTTGTCGTTCTCGGTGTGCCCTCCACCAGTTCTTTACGACTTGAACCAACTGACCAATGTGCGCCCTATTGGATACACTTTGGCAGCGATTGTGATCGCAACTGCAGTTTCCTGTATCGTGTGGATGGCCATGAACCGAAGGAGCAGCGTAGTAGCTCAGTCGCAGCCAGGTACGGCCAACTCTTTTTCTCCTCCAGATCAACACATGTTTCGAAACTAAAATATTTGCATTGTGCCCTTTCACTCCCCGATACAGAGTTCCTTCTCATGATTTGCTTTGGCGCGGTTTGCATGGTGTCAGGTAAGCGAGCGGTCTCTTCGGGCTGGCAGTGATTGCATCACGCCATGTTTCTCAGCCCTCTCCCGATCTTGCAATCGCTGCACAGCAATCTTTCCACTGGGCATTGATGACAGCATTGCCTCCACAGAAGGTGCTTCAAAGGCTTGTATGGCGATTCCATGGTGTGTTGCCCTTGGTTTCACAATCATGTACGCCGGAATATTCTGCAAGATCTGGCGCATCAACAAGTTGATGACTGCGGCAAAGTATTTTCGCCGCACCAAAATACAAGCATGGCATGTCATTGCTCCGCTTGTGGGGCTCTCCGTCGGAAACGTGCTGTTTCTTGCCATTTGGACTGGCGTGGATCCCATGTATTACAGGTAAGCCGTGAACTACCTTTGCTTGCGGCAATTCGTATCTATGTCTAACCTCCACTGCATTACCCCAGTCGGGAGGAAGTTTGTGGAGCAGGAGATTTTAGCTCTGTTGGCCATTGCAAGGCTGGTGATACCAAAGTTTCCGTGGCCATGGCGTCCTTGATTGGAATCATCAATATCACAGCTCTGATCTTGGCCAACGTAGAGGCGTACCGGGCACGATGGTTGAATGAACACCTTAGCGAATTTCGCTACATGTTTATCAATCTTCTGGGCATTCTCCAAGTGGGAATCATTGGAGTGCCGCTGATCATGCTGCTTGCCGAAGAGCCAGTGGCATCATACTTCTTGATCTCGATTCTGCTGTTTCTGGTTGCCGAGTCAACTTTGCTGCTCATGTTTGTTCCTAAAGTCCTCCTCCTTCGACAGGAAGCAGCTGACGACTCCGATGATGCTGCTTCTGTTGCTTCCATGGCTTCCTCCAATATCAGCCCATTTGGAAACAATCAGAATTCCTCCCGCCACACCCGATTCTCGCTGCCGGCGGCCCCAAAATCTTTTCCTTCGTCACTGCAACGTGCTTCGTCCGTGGAAAATTCAGCGTCGTCCTCCGCAGCCCTGTTGAACAGAATCAAAGAACTCGAGAGGCTCCTGCGGGAGGAAGAAGGTGTAGACACACGACGAGTCTTTTCAAAAGTTCAGCTGGACACGGTGGTGACGATTCCGACCGAAAGAGAAAGCGATGATGATGATGTCATGGCCAGTGTCAACACTGCAGTCCTCCAGGCCTGTAACGGTGACATTGAACGAGCCCAGTCCATGGCTCGGAAACTAGGACTCGAGAAACCGATCAGCGACCTCGAGATCGACGAAGAGTCTGATGAATCTTCAAGCGATTCGTCGTGTGCAGGTGATGCCTTGTCCAAGAATCCCGTAAACAAAATTGCGGCATTGACAGCGTGACAACTTGAAGAATCGAATCCATCACGATGTGGCTCAGCGCTCCACTACGTCTGTCATATTGGTCTTGAGGGCCCTTGAAAGGCGTCGATCACGGTTGCTTGCTCGGGTCGTCGACACCAAGGAACGGGAAGCAATGAAACTTGAAACAGCCGAAGTACAATCGACGAGCTCCATCAATCCAACAACCCTCAACAAGGGGAAGCCTTCACAGCAGTACAGTCAGTGGATAACGCCCTTGTAACTATAGCGAATTGTAGTTTCTAAAAAGTTCTAACTAACAGGACCTGAACACGGCCAGTTAGCACTCCATTGTCTTGGTATGTGTTGTTTGGCTTGAGAAGAGCCAACTACGACGTCTTCTTTTGGTTGTTGTTTTTGGGAGCCAGGATTTCGTTGTAGCCCGCAAGACACTTTTGGAATTCCTGTTCTAGAAAGGCTTGTTTTTCTGCCTTGGTTCGAAATCTGCTCAAATCTTCTCGATGTTCCTTGTTGAGTCGTTTCTTGACCATTAACCGGAATCGTTTTTCGAGTTCTTGTTTGTGGCTGGCACTGTTGTTGGTTGTAAAGTGTAGGTACTCTTGGAGTTGCTGCAATTTGTAGAGTTCCATGACAATCTGTACTTGTCGTGGAATGATTTTGGCCGTGGCCGCCGCTTGTACGAGTTGTGTGTCGGAGAGTGCGCCAAAGAATTCTGGATCGGTGACGGGTTTCTGATTGTTGATGGATGGTGGTATCCAAGGCTTGGGATAGTTGTTGTTGACCGTTGTTGTGGTTGACTTTTCGAGGGATCGCAAAAAGCAATCGAGGTCCGTTCGATTGCGCAGTTTGACAAATGCCGGAGCCGGACTCTCGACGTTGATCTCGACAATTTCTTCTTGATCGTTTTCGTCATTGTCTTCGTCGCTGTGGCTGTGCTGCTGCAAGAGATTGTCGTATTGCCCATGTGCAATATCGACCAGACAGGTGAGCAGTTGCTTACCATGTCCTTCTCGTTGATACGGCGGCAACACCAACGCTTGACAGATGCGAACGACGAGACCTGATTTTGGTTTTTTGAAGGGAGCTCGAAAGAAAAAGAGCGTGACATATCCCGCCAATGAGTATTGCTGTTGTTTTGTGCGTGAACTGTGTCTTTGAAATAGGTAGAGTACTTTCCAATATCCTCCATCTTGTTGTGTGACATCGACATCATCGGCGGTTTCAATGAACCAGAGTGCCATTTTTTGTACTTGGACATGGTATTTGGCCGTGGCATTGTGCGATCCATCGGCGAGACAGATGACAAAGGATTTGTGGTTAGATTCGTATTCCTCGAGTTGAATCCCTAGTGGTTTTCGGAGAAAAGCGTCCTGAAGCTTCTTTTTGCTGTTGGAGTGACTGATAGTGGTTGGCAATCCCTGTTTCATGGCCTGATGAATCTCTTTGGTTGGCATTCTAGCTCCCCTGGTAGCTCCTTCCTTGGCTTGTTCTTCCTCTGAGTCCACTTCACTGATATTTCCTTCATCTTCAAATTCAGAGTCATCTTCCTGATCTTCCTCCTCGTCTTCATTGTCATGACATGTGTCTTCATCTTGATCAGATTCTTCCTTAGGATTGTCATTGGCACTATCTTCTTGATCATCAGATTGATTATTTTCTGGTTGCACATTTTTGACATCCTTGGGACTTGAAGTCTGCTGCTGATTATTGTCATTATTGTTGTGATTGTCATGGTTGAGTTTCCTTTTTTTATTGGCATAGTTGGCAGCATTTCTGGTACTTTTAGTTCTGGGCAATCTCTTTTGTTCCATGTCAATTTCCAGATGGCATTGCTGACAAGAAGGAGCCAATTGGACTTTGATGGATAATTCCTTGGAGGCTGTTTCATGGTGGCGGTGGGAAGAGTGTGGTAACATTGTCTTGTCTTTATCATCCTCTTCATCCTTCTCTTGATTTTGATGTAGATTGTTGGAATTATTATTAGGTTTGGGTAGATGGAGGATTTTCTGAAGTGGAGGATGGTATCCTCTGATGTGTTCTCCTGGAAATGCTTGATGGGTAAACACTGGATGAAAGGTTTTTCCCAATAGTTCAAACTCAATTGTCAGACTGGCAGAGGACAAACTGGGATCTTCATGCTCTTTGGCCACATTCTCTTCAGTATTCATAATAATATTATTATTGACAGAAGAACTCATCTTTCAACCAGTGTTGTAGAGAAAGAAATGGAAAATGGAAGAGCTATTGATAGATCCAGAATGTACGCTGTACTGATAATCAATCAAGACAAATACTCAATAGAAAAGAAGAAGGAGATAGACAAAGTGATTGATGGCCAAACCCAGACGATACATGTAGAGCACCCAGCCCTTTTAACAATGACGGATGCACCCGCATCAACGCCCAAAAAAGAAGAGCCAGTCCACGATTACACATCTTCTTGGCCTTCTCTCACTAGCGTTAGAGCTAGCTTTATCAATGAGTGAAGGGACTGACATCAACGCGCGCAGTTGCGTTGGGTCCCTAAGTATCTTCCACGATGACGTGTCGGAACGAACCTCGTTTAGGACACCCAGTCTTGGATCCTTTTTAGCGGAACCAAAACATCATGCCACGCTGCCACGCTCACCACAAGCCTTCCGAGAACAGACACAAAAAACTCCCACGCGATCTTTCTTTCAAGAGCACTCAAGTTATCTTTCTATTGCTATAGTATTTCGACCATGAGCACCAGTGTGGAAGGCAAATGTGTGTGCTTTACGGGGACCCTCCAACAGCAAACTCGAGCTCAGGCCGCTGCCGCTGCCAAAAAAGCGGGTGCCACAGTGGCCAAGAGTATTACCGGTTCGGTGGATATTGTGGTGGCAGGACCAGGAGCGGGTGCCAAGTTGGAACAAGCCAAAAAGAAGGGATGTGAAGTATGGAGTGAAGATCAGTTCCTAGCTGCCATTGGTGGTGAAGCTACTGGCGCTGCTGAAGCTGCTAGCACTCCCAGCAAAAAGAAAAAAGCTCCTCCTGCAGCTTCTCCCTCTCCTGCCAAGAAAAAAGCCAAAACCACTCCCACCAAAACCACTCCGGCCAAGACGAAAGCCGCTACCAAAGTGGAACCTGCAACTCCTGCTGTGCCCGGCTCCAAAACACGAAAAGTCATGAGTGTGGTTGCAGGAGGAAACGAAGTCTACTCCGTGGTAGATGACTACGATGTCAAGCTCATGCTGTCGGATCAAGTCAGTATGAATTCCAATAAATTCTACAAGCTACAATTGCTTCAAAAAACGGAGGATGACAACTATTACGTCGCCACCAATTGGGGACGGCTGGGAGAACCCGGACAATCGCAACTCAAGGGTCCTCACAGCGACCTAGACAAGGCCGTCAAGGAATTTGGAAAGGTATTTCGATCCAAAACCAAGAATGCCTGGGGAGCCGATCCCTTTGTACGATATCCCGACAAGTACCAGTTGATTGAAACCACCGTGGACGAGGATGACGACGATGATGGAACCGGTCAAGCGCTGGGACGGCTCACGGAATCGCAAATTCAAAAAGGACAAGCCGTCTTGAAAGAAATTCGAGAAACACTCGACGAAAAAAAGAAAATGACCAAGGCCAAAAGGAACGATGCATTGGGAGCTCTTTCCAACGAATTCTATTCCCTCATCCCCACGACATCGGGACGACAAAAACCACCCAAATTGGACAATCTCGATATCGTTACCGAAAAGGAAGGACTCCTCGAATTTTGGCTGCGCATGGGATTCGAAGAAGTCAGTCCCCAAAATGTCGATGGATCACCCATTGACGGCCTGGAACAATTGCCCGTTCCCACGACCCTGAGAGCGGCCGCTTCGAGTATTTCCGATTTGGGCAGCATCAACTCGAGTCGCACTCGTGGGGAATCCTTGGCAAGCAAAAAGGCCGGAAACCCCGTCGCCGACAGTATGGGACCGGAACTCTACGCCGCCATTTTATTGTACACAGGAAATTCCATTTACCGAGAACTCAATCGTTGTTTGCGATTGGAATGGAAGAGTGCTCGCAAATATTGGAATTATCTCCGACTCTATTTTGCCGCCATGGAATGCATGCCCCGCAAGAAAGAAACGTTGTGGCGGGGGATTGCGGCCGATCTCTACGACGAGTACGAACCCGGCAAAATTATCACGTGGTGGACCGTCTCGAGTTGCACTTCGGACAAGAGTGTGGCGCAAAACTTTATGAGTCAATTGGGTGGCAAAGCCACCTTGCTGACCTTGCATACCCTCAAGGCATGTGATATTTCGGCTTTGAGCTTTTACCCCCACGAACGAGAAAGCCTCCTCAGTCCGGGCACCAAATTAAAAGTCTTGAGCCGCAAACGCAATGGAAAAGTGGCCGAGATTGAAGTGGAAGAAGTGGTGGACGACGATGGCGACAAGAAAAAGCCAGCGGAAGAGTGAGTCTAGTGTGCCGACAAAGTTACACTTAGTTAGGAGTTAGGAGTAGAGTGCGGACATTGAAGCACAATAACATACGTAGTTTCGCCAACAGAAAGGGGCTAGTTAGGCGTGATTTCTCCAATGCCACAGCCTCCAAAGCCGTGGCATGGATCCTTGAAGCCATTGCATGGTTGCATCATAGCTCTTTGGTCATGATTTGAAACGGTGAATCCCTCCAGGCGGTCTTGTGATGAGCTTGCATCATTGGGGTGCTCGTGCGACCTCAACTCCAGGGCTCGATGCGATGGCGCCACGAAAAGGCTTTGGACGTGCCAGTCAGACCATTCCCTGTTGATTGAGATCATTTCCACACCTGCGTGGTCTTCGCTGCTTCCTCCTTCGTTCAGACGCCATCAACACCCAATATCGCGCCAACAGCGGATCCACCAGCACTGCTTGGATTACGCTTCGTACAATCTTCCGATGCGTTTGCATTCGAAACTTCATCAGCGGACTCATCACCTCTACTAGACGACGAGGATGAATCGTCATGATCATCAGAACTGCTGACGTAGGCATCCAATAGTGCATCAGTTCTTTCCAATGCCGATGCTTTTGCTTCAGGTTCATCAGAAGGTTCGTGATGTCTTTTGAACCAACCCAAGGAAGCCAGTGACTTCTCCACCTGAGCAGCTACTTGTGAATGCAATTGACTCTCAAGCTCTTGCTCTCTGACTTCCAGTTCAGCAGTTTTTCTTTGAATCTCTTTCACGTCTAAATCATTTTGGCTTACTTGCTTTGACAAATATTCCACCTTCCTGTTGAGCAGCGATTCTTGCTCGTCGTGGTTGTGGTCTGCATACCCGTTGTCCTCGTCTCTCGGGACGCAGTATACAACTCGCCTCTCAATCAAAACAAGGCATTGGGGGCAGTGCATGCTCCTGGTACCGTCAGCATCCTCTCGAGAAAGATTCCTACCATCTCCCACTGTTCTTCGTTTTGTTTCAGCCAAACTCCAAAGTCTCCTCTTTTCGATCTGTAGATCACATGCAGGACAAGTAAAGTGCCCCCGTACACCTCCTTGCACATCGAAGAACGAGCTGTCCTCAATGTCAAAACAGCTGCTAATATTGTCGTCACTGTCACTGTCCTCGCCCGCACATCCAAGATTGTCTTCCTCCGCGCCTCCAAGATTCAAAACCTTGCTACTCCCTCTGAGACTTCGGCTGAAAGCAACCAAAGCAGTGTCTTCAAGAGACACCTTCGTGGATCTTCTACGTTTCGGGTTCTCGCTCTTGTCACCAAGACGAAGCTTCCTGCTGCTGCCCTTCTGATCTGCAGTGCCGACAAGTCTTTTGGAAACGTCGGCAGTCACATCTTCCGTGCCATTGGGCTGTAACTCGGCTTTTGCTTCTTCCTTGGCGGGGCAACGTTCTCCACCCGTTTTACCGATTCCATGTGATTTGATTTGGAAAGAGCTTACGCTGATCCCAGAAGGGCGTGCATAAGGATCAAATCTTTTTCTGGCTTCATAAGCTGAATAGCCGCTGCGTGTACCGGTATAGAAGCTGCTTGCGTCACCCAAACCTGAAATACGACTTTGACCTGACGTGAGGTGTCCGTCTTGCTTCGAAATGATTTTGATCATTTTGGGGCCAAACATTAAACTCAAAACCGTGACATTCTGCAAGAAAATAGAAAAGACGCGGACAAAATAGAACGCATCGGGTGAAGACGTCTCAAGCACCATTGCACCAACAGGGATTGCCAAAAGGGTAACTTGAAAGATGCAGAGAACAGCAAGAGAGACCCAGTTGCTCTCTGAGAATTCTGTTGGGATGTCTTTGGTTTGAATGCACAAAACCAGTGCATAGAACAAACACAGAACATGAAATGAGAGGAGAGCCAGCAGAAAGTGCCACCCATGGTCAGATGTACACCCCCCAACAGATTCGAGAACCATTCCGCCACTGGATTGCAAATGGACTTCACGTTCCCACCGAAAGGGCGAGACCAGTTGCCACGTGAGTAAAATTGCAACTTCTGGGACAAAGGAAAGGCTGAACAGTCCCATGACATCCAAGATTCCAATCTTTCGCCGCAGCATTTTCCGGCCAGCCTTGTAAACTAGCTTGACTCGGTAGATCTTGGCAAACAGGGCAGAGAATATCAATACAAAGCCCATTCCATACAACCATGGAACGGCCATGCATGCCGCATCCGCAGCAGAGATACTTGGGTTCTCTTCCTGCTGTATGCGACCTGTTCCAAAGTTCTTGATGTTTCTGTAGTCTGTCTGCATGCTCATTGGGATGATGGCAAGCCCCGATATCAAAGCTCCAAGAGCAATGCAAAAGAGAAAGCGCGGCTGCCCAGCACGCACAATCGGGGATGTGTTTTGATAATACCACAGCCAAAACGCAGATCCAATTGCCATGAACGCGATTATCCCCAAAAGAGCGTACCCCAAGTGTATAATCGCAGGGTCGATGTAATTGAGATCTTCAAGGTCAACAACCTTGCAAACCTCGAAATGAGTGGACTCGCAAAATTCTTCGTTGGGTGACGGTGGAGAGGTGACAAAGCTAGGACCGGTTTCCACAACCGTAGTAAGCAAGGTTTGCTTGGTGTAAGCTTGATATGCAAGAAGGTGCACTGGAAGGGACCCTTGTAGATAGGGCTGCTGATCAATTGCAAAGAGAAGCCGGCTGTCCTCTAACATGGGAAGAATACTATCGTCTAGATCAAAGGTTGCCAGCATGACTCCTGGGTGCCTTGCCTGTACTTGCAATGCCCCACTGAGAGCTTCCGAACCCAGTATGAGCAAACCAACACCATCCCAATTGTCATTGTCTGGCCCCATATCTTTTCCAATCACCTCTTCCACTGTCAATACGAACAGCTCATCCGAATCTTGTGGCAGTTCGATCATTCCACCGTGTTGATCCGTAGCATTCAGAGCTGCCGCAAATCCTGCGCAGCGTTCGTATAGACCATCATGGCCAGGGATGTGATGGAGGCAATATCCGACTTGCATTCCCATTTGCAGGAGCCTTTGTCCACCACCATGGCCGGCATTGAACTCGAGTTGGCCCACATGGGACAGAAGTCCCAATTGTTTGGATGTATGGGAACCGGCATTTGTGGAAATGACAGGAATCTTCAAGTCCAGACACAATTGTATGGATGGAACGACAATATCAGATGGTATGGACACAAAGATACCATCGACTCCCGATTCACATAATGTTTTGATAGCCAGTGCCATTTTGGTATACTTGATGTCATTTGTTTCTTGCGGTGGAAAGCGTACCAAGTCCAATGCCACGTTCATGTCTATGGCTGCTTGCTCGGCCGAATTTTGAATACTGTTCCAAAAGTCATTGGTAGTAGTTCCATGAAGAACGGCACCAATGCGTATTTTGGATCGGTCCGTACATGGACAGAGTCTATCTGGTTGTCCATTGCCATATTTATCGGCAAAGACCGAGTCCATACGAACAGGTTGCCGTTCGTCCCGTTGGTCTGGTGATTGGTCACATACTGGAAAGCCTTGGCTTTGACAGACTTGTAGAGTGTCGGTAGGCATATTTTCCTTTGTAACGATGTACGGCCCAGTGTATAGCATTGGGTTGGTGGGGCGTTTGCCTGCGAAATAAGAAGAACGAAGCACCATGTCAATTCAACAAGTACAAGTACAAGTACAAGTAGTGTGTGTGAGGGACTATTGTGCAATACGTACGTACGTACCTGTGGTAGCATAGAGAGCTCCAGCAATGACGGGTAAGACTGCTTGCAAATGCTGTTGCTGTGAAGTGGCAAATGCGAGCTTTCCCTGTAGTATTGCGGAAAAGACGAGGTCACTGGTGTCAAAGACTCCCACCGAAGGTGTGTCATTGTTGACACAATTGTGTTGTTCCAACGCCCCCAATGTGACATCGAGCAGCATGGTCCCCGCCAAGAGGATTGCTTGATGGGTACTTGTACTAGCTTGAGTACACCCTTGCAACGCATCGTGAATTGAGGTAACTGTGTTGACAATGTCGGTTGGATTCTGCACGATTAACTCCTCCACAACGACATTTGGATTGTGTTGTTTCAGTTCCAGCCCGAAGCCTTGATAGCGTAGTTGGATACTAGGATTACCTGGTTCATGATTGATAAAGAGAGCTTTGGATATCAATGGCTGCAACAGACTGGAGCTGGCTTGCAATTGGCGTACAAATTCGAGTGCTGCTTGTTGACCGGCCAGCAGTTCATCTTGAGCAAAAAAAGTAATGTCCCTAGACTTCTTTTGCTCTTCAGTGAGTAAGTGGTAGCCTGTGTTAAAGGCAAAGACAGGAATGCCATTCTGGACGGCATGCCAGGCTGCTTTGGCCACAGCTTCATCGGGAATGGTGACCAAAAGAGCGTCCGTACGACGAGCACCGTTGATATCGTCTTCCACGGCTTGACGAATGTCTCTGGCCAATTGCGCATGGGCAAGCGAGGAATTCTTATGGATGTCATCAGGCAGGAGTGGCATGTCCAAGTGAACCTTCATATCCGCAGCTGCTTGAAGAGAGGCGGCACGAAATTGCCGCCAAAAGGGATCCGCGTCTCTCCCGTGAACCAACGCTTGCAGGCGGTAGTCGGGACGGGCAATGCACGCATCACACGCAAAATGGACACGTGCCGACTCACAAGGGAGTACGCATAATATGCATGTCAACACCAACAATAATAAAGGTACCACCATCACATCATGATACACCAGCTCCAACAAAGTCTTCATTATCACTTGTTCTTGTCTTTTGTCAGCTTTGCTTCAGTGCATGCTGTCATGCTGTCGTGAGTATTGGCATACTGAGATAGATCTACATGTATGTACTGAATGGGAACTGTACCTAATGACATAATGACATCATGACAGTCTCTCACAGATATCATAGATGACTGTGTCATCCAGGGGGGTTTGGCTGTAAGAACGTGAAGGCTGACTGTTTTAGAGAATTAGAGCTATGAAGTGGAAAGAAACCGGTGGCTGGTCAACAGTCAACAATTAACAATATTTGGACGAACGAATGTGAAATGGAACAAATGACACTTGCAGCAAAGGAGTTTGAGGTTCCTTGTTTTTCAAAAAGAATGAGGAGAAAGAATGATGCTATTTGTGCCTGAGGTGTTTGAAAGAGCTTTAGGGATGCTGGCAGCTAGCTAGCTGAGACTCATAGGTGTTGGGGATTCGCGATTAGGGATTCAACCTGTACCTCTGTACTAGAATTTGATGCCAGTAGAAAAAGCAAAGGAACCCACTTTTTCAGTAGTATCTCAATAGCAACAGTAAACTAGAAGAGAGCTTAGAGCAACTAACACGACGCAGCGCTGCTGCATACGGCCAACCTACTCCACCCAGACACAGAATACGCTGACCTGGGAGTCGAAGACCAGAAGACAGTCTCGGCATACGCAGAGGAACGGTACTATAGTTATATCTTCTTACAGCTGTCTGATAGCTCTATACTCTCTTCTCACAGAGATCGTCAGTCCCCCGAATAATACCTACTCTTCAACTACAGCAACCTTCGAAGGGACGACTTTGCAAAAGGCACTGATAAATATCCCCACACGTTATGAGTTATTACACCTTGGACAAACACACCAAGAGTAACACCCACGACAGTCCACTTCCCACGGAATCCTTTGCTCAGACAGCAAGGCGGGAAGGACGGGTGGGGCAGAGGAAAAGGCCGCGGAAACGCGAGCTATGTAGAATACTGGAAAGAGAAGGAATGCTTTTCCTGCCACGATAAAGGACATCCACATCGCACTGTCTGACAAGATGAAAGACAAAGATAAAGACAAAGATAAAAAAGACAACGGAACAAGTCTAGGTCGAGCAAGCGTAGCAAGTCAACACGTCGAGCAAGAGCTCTAGTAGCGTTCAAAGGAGAACCCTAGCTACTATCAGACAAACTGCAAGATAAATAGCGACAGCATTGACAACCCTGGAAGAACAGGATGATGCCGACTCTGAATCACGCAGTCAGATGACGAGAAAGTCAGAAACGTTTCTTTACGTTCGACGCTACGTGTTCGCGGACGGAACGAAGAAACCGAAAGCAAGGCATAGTCGCCACACCAAAGGATTGGACACATAGATATGAGAGAGGTCCAGCTACTGGACAACCAGTCCACGTGGATTTATTCTGTAATAAGACATGGTTACCGCATCAGGAAAGCCGATCGTCCAATTTACAGTGAAGAGTACCGAGGCAAGCTGAAGGTCCAGACACACAGCCAAGTTAGCTGCCACAAACAGAGAGTTGGTTCGATGAAAGAGGAATAGAACATCTTATCTGTTAGAATGTCGCAAGAATTGCAACATGTCATACTGTGCCGAAAGAACTACACAGTCAGTCTTAGACCAGGCTACCGACGTAGTATACGAAATGAACAGTGAAGGATTACACGTTATGACCCTAGGAAAAAAGGGAAGGCACTTGTGAATACTGTCGCCGAAAATAAGGAGGCTTCAGCAAACGACAAGTTAAAGCCGCACAAGGGCAAGCTGCTTATAAGCAACTCGTCTATCCATCGATTAAAGATTCCGATGGGCGATTATGAGCAATCAAATCGCAAATTGCCCTGTGACCGTCGAAGACATCGAATACGGCACAAGCTATATGGAAGTGATTATTGCGCTGAAGGCAGACCACTCGTCGAAACCGAACGCAGTGGCAAGTGCAATGAAAGTGCCAGAGACTTTTTGCAATTAACAAGGATGTGTTCCTAAGATGGACATTTTCTTTGTGCAGGAATTCCGTTCCTGTTACGCTAAGCCGTAAAATCGTTTTTACAACATCTAGACACTTGCCCAACAGGAAGCTAGGACCATCCTAGACGGCATTTCAGGAGGTCTATCGATTCTCAAGGCCTCGTGGTTTTAGAACACGACCATTCATGTGGAAAATGATTTGCCATCTGTCCAACACAATCATGGCAATGCGGGTGGACCGGTAGTGAACGTGCCAGTGCTAACGAGCACGTACCCGAGATCGAACGTAGAATCCGGGTAGTCAAGGAAGGACACGAGCTGTCCGGCATAGCCTACCGTTTACACGCATGCCAAAAATATTAACCGTCAACTTGGTGTTACAAGTCGCATAGACGTTGTGACGTACTTTTCCCGATAACCGCGCGGGGGTCAAGCGGAACATATGAGACCCCCGATAATATAAGATCTGAGGTAGAGTCCTCTGGACAATAAAACAGGCACACTGAAGCCAGCAGTTCGAGAGATTACTGCCAGGTGCATGAAGAAGACGTCGCCCGTAACAGACATGGCTGGGCACCGCACAATTAGGCGGCGTCATCCTGTATGGGAACCGAGGCGGCAAATAGCTAGACGGTATCGGCTGTACATAATTTGGACTTGTATGACTCCGCCTACTCCGCAGTAACATTACTTACGTGCATTCGATTGGGGATGACAACAGGATCCGCAACGCCCGAAAACAGGATAGCTAGAGATCAATTCTTATTAGTAAAAGATACAGCCTTAAACTACTCGTTTTAACTGATACAGAAAATAGGACCCACATTGGTGATGTCTGAATCACAGGAGTGAAAGGGAAGAAAGCACTGACTGCAATCTCCCGCTCACTAAGACCAAACATGAACTGGACCGATGCCAAGACCGATGGATCTGACGCGATTCCTAAACGTGACGAATGAGTGATCCGACGATCCCAGACAACGTCAACGACTAACGAACGACCGTGATAGTCAAGCGAACCTAATTGATGAAATCGGCGTTAACCGAAAATCGAATACGGAACCGGTTACACAACCTATCGTCGAAACGGTAGAAGGAACCGAACCTACTACGCCAAATGCGGCCTAAGTACATTTAGTTACCCATGAACTGTAGGTGATTACGTATCTGTGCCTTCTTAGGTCCATTGGACACGTGCACCTATTCCTTGGTCATATCTCCAGTAGCACGAACCGAGCTGACGGCGGAACGCCAAATGGGAAATGATTCCGCTTGTCGTGGTCGAGGTATCCTTCTTGAAGGTGAGACTCCAGGCAAACCAGCAAAGGGGATGAGTTCCAGTTGCCTGGTCAGTCTGGAATCTGACATCACCCGCTCAACTCATAGCTGGCAGATGTAGACCCATGGCAGACCACAAAGCCATGCACTTTGGTTGTTGATTGGATCTGCAACATGGCCTTTTACCTTAAAAACGGGACATAAGGCCCGGGAACGGATCGCCAGAGGTGGTTGTTTGGAATACCTCCAAAGCGGCTGCTCCAAACCTGGGAAGCAGGACGGCCAGGAGTGGGCAGGGTTTATAAGAAGTAGTTGGGAGGACACACAGCACAAAAGGAATCGGGGGTGATATTCCGACTGACTGCAAATAAAGAAGCATGAGGACTCACTCCAAACTCGTCCATACATCGTAACGTGTCTTGCCTGCCCCAGGATGCACTACACGTTTTATTCAGACAGGGTAATCCAGTAAGAAAACAGTGACTTGGGAGCACCTTTCACGGATCACAGTTGTCCACATTTGAAGGCTGGACTCGCCCAAAGCAATAGAGAAGGATAAAGCGCCCGATGCAGCCTTTGCCGAGGTGAAGCAGTTACATCTCAGTGATACCTTCCGTCAGAAGAAAATGTAAGAACTCAGCGATATGGAAGAGACGAGTATCTCTAGAGCACAACTTGATTCTAAAGTTAAAAGGAACGGAGAAATCATAGAGGCCGAGCTGGTTGACTCAGGAGTGCACACCAAACAGCGTGGACTCCTCATCTCCAAGATATTATACGCTCATGCTCCGGTGCATACTGGTCGTCAGTGAAGCGATGCTACTATCCTGCATAATCGACGTTGAAGAGGAAAGGGATGTTGAAGTAATTGACATCCCGATCGCCTTCATCCAGACAAGTGTCGAGGATGAAAAAGATTTGGTAATCATTAGAGTAAAAGGAGTACTAGTAGACATACTGTGTGAAATAGCCCCAAATGTCTACACATCTGTATCGTGGAACGAACTGTGGAATAACAACACGAGTCAACTAACAGTTTGCCTCCCTACGAGATATGAGAGATGACCATAGTGCGGCACATTGACGTGAACTAGCCTATCTAATACTTAGCTCTACCACATGTTAAGGGCCGGTAATACGTATGGATTCCGGGAACGGATTCTTAAGATATCAATATCCTCTACGACACACTGTGTAGCCACAAATATATGGCGCCATAATACGGCTCAAATCAAATGATAACCGTCCTGGCGTGGTGAATTTAGACAGGCACTGTAGAGCTTTCAGCACAAGAGGATCGAAGAGTTGAAGGACCAGTAGCTTATGCCAAGCTGCTATCGTGTATAGAATAATCGAACAGCATGTCGAGGACTGGCATCTGGAGAGATGACGGTGGACTCGGCTGGAGAAAGGTCACTACGTGTAATTGGCATCAACAACGACTTCACGACCGGTATGTCAATGGCATTAGACGTACAAAGTCATAAAGTATCGTTGATTGAAACCTGGAAGCTTGAGAAGCATCGCGTCCATAGGTAGGGACGAAACTAGTAAGTAGACAGGTCCCCGAAAGACCTATCGCAGGTAAGACGAATCCATGCGAAAGCATAGGCATCGCAACGAGGCACACACAGCTGTTCAAACAGCCTTGCGGGAGATATCCCAGGCTTACAAGTCAGCTTTACAGCTTTACAAATAGCAGGATTATTCTAGAAAAAAATCACTGACTGCTCATGTGAGTGGATTCTCTACGTAAGGTGAAGAACTTTTCGGACAAAATGAGCATAAACTATATACCATCCTCTAGACCAAGAGCAGATCAAAATGCACAGCAATGGTGATGGGGTGCGATGGTAACTCGAGGTGAACGTCCTATAGTGAAAAGATGTTTATCGCCTGCCGAATTCTTATTCCTAATGGATTATGTCTGAATCCTATGTTGTCAATGGATAGCTGGGCTACTGAAGTGCACTGACATGCTTGATTGCCCTTGCATGCATGTCTCCTTCTTCTTGCATTCTTCATCGGTATTCCTTCCCTTTATTGCAATTCACTTCCCTTGGATTCGATCGAAAGCAATCCTCTTGGGTTCCTACTCCTATTGACGATCGTGTAAAAGCAATTGTGACCAATCCCTGTCCGCAATTCGAAACTTCGATGAAGTGATCCTTATAATGGAACCTCGTCAATTTGAGGCACCTTTCCTATCCAGATGTGTACGATCGTGTAAAATCAGCAATAGTCGGCAGTGCATAGACCTAAAGACCAGACTTTTGGTTCTGTTTTGGTTGAGTTGTTTGCTGGATTCTTGCAAATGGCCATATTGGTGATTTATGTTTCTCGTTTTACTGCGGCCAATCTCCCGCGATTCTCTCTGCAAACCATCTACTGTTGGTTCCTAACCAACTACCACACCGCAATGGTGTGCTTCGCTTTTTCTTTTTAGGGCCCTTCTCTTGCAGTTGCCATCCTCAACCCTAGTGGGATTACACATTCCCACAGGATTGAAAAGCCTACAATACTACTAGCACATGAGTTACACTCCAAATGCGCCTAATACATTCAGGTGTACCCAGGAATGGTAGTGCATAGTACGTGCTGTAGTTGCACTGCACCATTGTCATCTCCAGTAGCAGAACCAGCTGAGGCGGAACCAGGGAATCCCGCAGGGATTCAACCAAGCGCGCGTGTGGTTTACCGGTGAGGCCTTGCAGTCCTGCATCATTCAGTCTTACTGGTAATCAGGTCACGGTCTTGTTTTAGAGACAAGGTTACAATCGCTGTTTCAACCGCACATGCTGAGTCAAGACCCACTTGGGACACACTTTTTCGGATTTTAATTATGACCATGCACGAGCTGACGCTGTGGAGTGCCGGAGGGCGTTCATCTCTCCGAACTGACTTGTTGTGTTTCTTGTGACAAGCAGTAAGTTGATGACTGTTGCCATTGATAGAGGGCAGACCGAGAGAGGAGAAAGAACATTAGAAGCTTTCATTGCGAAAATCTTGTACTCCATCGCTTGTTAGCTAGCTACCGTACTAGGCAGGCAGATATAGAATGATGCAAGGGAGCGACGGGTTTCCTGGTGACGACAGTCAATGCATTCTCGAACCGACGGAGAAGGTACGTTTGTCAAGTCCACTCTATTCTCAACGCTTCTTCTGGTGATGATGCTGCACAGGACAGTACCATTGTGTGGAATGATTCTTGCTCGACCCAGCTCAGCTCGCCCATGTCTCTCTGTTTCTTCAGGATGTCCTTTGTGGAAGAGGAGGAATGAGTAATCACCACCAGGGGTAAGTCGAGACGAAGAAGTACAAGATGAATGCTGTCTTTTACGCCGCCTTGTCTCTCACAGTCTCTTGCTCCTGTTGACGTAGAAACGAGTGGTACAGACGTTTGATCCGTAGTAACCGTCCATTGTATCGTGCGTGTCCCAAGCACACCAAGTTGTTGGTGAGCAAAGCCATTGTCCAGGCGGTGGAGGAGCAAGGAGGCCGCTTCCTAGAAAGATCCCGAAAGACGGGAATGTGGTACCAAGTCCCCTACAAACGAGCCGTTGACAAAACATCGCAAGGCTTGAGAGAACGTGACAAAGACGACATTTCGGCACCCAAAATTACTAGCTTACCGGCGTCCTTGAGAGCCAGCAATGGTGGAAAGATTCCCAAACCCGATCTATCCCAGCTGGCTCAGGTCACCATGGGATACGCTGGAATGCCTACCAACGCTAGCAAGGCAGCTGCTGCAGCTGCAGCTGCTGCAGGAAACTTGAAAATGGGAGGAGGAGGAGGAAAATTAAAAGTGGGAGGAGGAGGAAACCTAAAAATGGATGCTGGACAGCAGCAGCAACAACCACCACCGCAACGCATGATGCAAAACAATCCAATGCAGCAGCAACGACAGCAGCAGATGCAACAACGACAACAGCCAATGCAACAACGACAACAGCAGATGCAGCAACAACAGCCAATGGCGCAACCATCCAATCGATTCTCATTCACTTTGGGATCCAACAGCAACAACATGGGTGGTGGAAACAGCAACAACAACAATAACCCGGATCCTTTGGATGCTCCACCACAGCCTGGACTACTTTCGAGTCAGTCGTCCATGTTTCGTCTCTTTTCCCGATTTGGTGGTGGCGGTGGCGGTGGAGACAATACTAGCAACAACCGTAGATCGAGTCTGGAAGCCGGATTTGCAAACCCGGTTCCCAATCTGCCATCCATGAGTGGTCCTGGGCTGTCGTCCTTTATGGGATTTGGAGGTGGAGGAGGAGGAAACAATAATAATAGCAACAACAACAACAACATGATGAACAACAACAATGCGGGTATGGGCGGTGGCATGGACATGTCCGCAATGAATAATATGAACAACAACAACAACAATCCAATGAACATGAACAATCCTATGAATAACATGAACATGAACAACATGGGTGGTGGTATGAACAACCCAATGAATAATATGAACAACATGAGTTTGAATCAAATGCAACAGATGCAGCAGCACATGCAACAGATGCAACAACAGCAAGCATCGAATCAAGGTGCCCCGGCATTGACTCGATTGACGACCCAAATGTCCGATTGGTTGACATCGTTTTGGCCCGTTGGGAAAGGTCCAGGACAAGGAGGAGGAGGCGGAGGAGGAGGAAACGACCAAAATAGTAATCGAGGGGGGGCATCCCGAGGAGGAAACAACAATATTATCAACAACAGCAGCAATAACAACAACAACATGGGACAGCCAGGTGGTAACAACCTTGGTGATTTCTCCGGCGGTGGTGGTGGTGGTGTCAACCAGCTTTCACAAGCAACTTTCGGGGGAGGAAGCAACAACAATAACAACCAGATGAACGACATGCAACAACGCAACGAAATGCAACAACGCAATGACATGATGGCGTCCATGGGCGTTCCAAACAATGGTGGCGGAGGGGGATCTCTTATGGACAATAATATTGGAATGTCAGCTCCGATGCCGACAGGACCAGGCCCCATGGGCAACGGCAGCGGATCCGATGGTGGTGGAAGAGGCAGAAGTAGTATGCGCGGAAGCATGACATCAAACAGTGGCAATATCCCTGCCCCAGGACCACTGGAGAGCTCCGTCAGCACTACACTGTTAAGGCTAGCGTCGTCTCCCTCCAAGATTCTCGGCAGTATAAGTACGTTCTTCACGTCCGACCAATCCAGCTTTCAAGACAACAACAATAACCAACAACAGCAACAAAACCAACAAGGTCAGAGACAGCAGCGATCCCAATCCTTTACCAATCCCTCCCCAGACCCGTTGATGGATGGCCTGGGAGCACCACCCCCTCCTCCCGGCGGTCTGGGCTTGCCTGTGGGGAGGAGACCGTCCAGAAGATCCAGTGACTTGTTGGACGACTACGAAGAAACGGAGATGGAAGCACGATTGCGAACGGTTGCCAACTAGCTTGAAGTAGTGGTGGTGTTCAGGGACTGCGGCGCATTTGATTTGGTGGAAACTATTCGCTTTTCTGAGGCTAATCGATGGTTCACTTGGTACCGTAGCGCTCACGTCAACGTTTTCATACACTTTAATTTGTGGGACTGCAGCGGCCGGGGAAAGCTTCTTATTCTGATGGTTGTGTACGTTGCAGGGTGGCTGAGTAGTACTAATAATTTGATATGTCACGGCTTTGTTCAGATGGTGGTTTTGTTGCTTGCTTTGTTTGTGATGGAAAGATAGTCTTTAAGCATTCCCCCTGTGACAACATCCCATATCCGTATCAATCCATCATGACAGGCCGACACCAAACAAGTTCCATCCTAATTGAAGGACACAGCTGTCACTAATTCAGAATGAACAGGTAGTGTCCAGACACATTAGAGACTTGACTCATGACGCACCGGAGGCGTGGTCTTCATTTGCTCTTCTAGTTCGTTACCGCTATCTACCTAGAGTTCCTACCTCAATTGCTCGAAGCTTTTTTGGGCTCAACTTGGCTTTCTCATACAATATACGTTACCCTCCTGGCTGGAGCTGTTTGAGACTGCAACTTGCTATAGCAGAGGTGCGGGCTACTAGCTACGGTAGCCAAAGCTTAACAGTGGACTCGTCACTTCTACCAGTTGCTACGGTAGTCCCAACGCACAAACTACCTGCACGTTTAATAAAATTGCTGCGAGCCTCATCGCTTGTGTCGCTTGGTATATCCCGCGCTGCCACCCAAGGGAGCCCAGAACTGTACAGTCTTGTCTTGTGTCATCCCCCCTGAAGCAATGAGTTCTTGACTCTCATGAGCATCCACGGCCAAGACCGCATCGGTGTGTCCTTCTAGGACTTGGTGCACCTTTCGCGAGTTAATGTCGTAGAGAATAATCTTTCCAGTTTCGGATCCCGTGACGATGCATTGTCGATCCGGTCGACAGGTCAAAAAATCACTGACAATGCAGTATTTGTTATTCACGTGTAGCGGCTCTTGATCTTTCGAAGAGAATGTTTCGTAGGTCTTCGTGCATTTGTTGGAACCTCGTTGTCCCACGTTCCATAGGCGGAGTTTGGAGTCGAGTGTTCCGGCCAAAATGTACTTGCCATTGGGGCTGTACGTGACATGGGAGACTGGTGGGTTGCCTACTCATAAAAAGGATACAAAACAAGAAAGGAAACAAAACAAAAAAGACCCCAGTGAGAAATCTTTTGTCTTTAAAAAACATCGATAGAGTCGCTCTCCTAACTCACCTGCCGCAAAGATAGTCTTTAAGCATTCCCCCGTGGCAACATCCCATATCCGGATCAATCCATCATGACTGGCGCTCGTTAGGCAAGTTCCATCACGATTAAAGGAGACTGCTGTCACTGGATCGGAATGAACGGGTAATGTGGAGACACATTCTCCCGATCGAACATCCCACAATTTGACCGTCTCATCAAAACTACCCGATACCAGCAAATTCTGGTAGATTTGTGTACAAAACACAAAATTATCGTGACCTCGAAATTCCACCAATGCGTCTCCCGTCACGGCATCCCACAGTCGCAACGTCTTGTCATCCGATGCCGTGGCCACCATGGGAGAATCTGGACTCCACGCTACATCGTTAATGCCTCTGGCGTGTCCCACAAGGGTAGTAACTGGATTCAACAATGCCTTGCCGGACAATTGAGGAGAACTACTAGAAGTGGCATCGACGGGGGTTGTGGTTGTGGCCGCACTGGCACCCAAATCGAAAATCTTGACCGTTCCATCGGAAGAAGCGCTGGCACAAAACGCCACCATGTTGCTGATACTGTCCGGAGCTGGCTGTCGATTCTTGGTCAATCGAGCCGGCGCCAGTTTCACAGACGATACAGCTCTCTTGTGTTCTCCGTAAAACGGCAAATTGACAAACTTTTGAGGTTCCGAAGGATCGCCATGGTCATCGGAAGCGTTGGATCGAGATCGTTTCTTGTGATGATGGTGATGATGAGACTGTTGCTGCTGTTGTTGCTGTTGCTGCTGCTGATCCGATGAAGGATGAGCGTCAAAGTGATGGTAGGAGGACATCATCTTGACTACAGTGCACAATAGAAACTCTGGAGAGACGGCAAGGACAGCTCGGGTTTTCCAAGAGAGAAGATGTGAGTAGTGAGGCAACGGCCTTTGATTGTGGTAAGATGGCAGCGAGGAGAGGGGAGCGAGGATCGACGTTCCACGAAAACTCGATCTGTTTGTTGGCGTCAAACGGACGACGGCAGGACGGCATTTCCAAAACAAGCGGCAAAACGCGTTCATAAAAACGACACTTTCACCTGGAATAAGGGTAAAATGTTACTCCCATAACGTTACGCGTCACATAGGGTATCATCCCATAATGCCACCCCCCGGTCCTTATATCCCCTAGTCTTGGGATGTCGTTCTTGCACACAAGAAGCGTAAATATGCTGGGAAAACGCACGATTCACAGAGGAAAAATCGGCGCGTTGAGTAACGCCCCGAGCAACATTCGAACACTCGAAATGATACGTTTTGGTACTCTCAAGTTGGTACTCGGAAGCCGGAATGTTACTTCTCTAATTCTTTTAATTTGGTACTTAGGCTTGAAAGAGGGCCAACGCTGGATCTTCGCGCCTGGAAATCCAAAAATTCGAGGCTACTCCACTCACTCCACCACACAACTCAAGGAAAAGCAAAGACGAAAAGGCGAAACTTCGAACTGTTGACTATTGACAACCAAAAACATCGACAATGCCAGGACTTTACGGCAGCCGTACACCTCCCCGTGGTGGCGCTATTGAAGATGACGAAGCCGAAGATTGGCACTTCCCTCAGAATGGCAAGCACTTGCCCTACCTGCTCCATTTCATGTCATTTGTGGAAGGACGACTTGATGGCCCTCTCACTCCTGACACCACCTTCACGAAGGAACAGATGATGAGCATTCGTCCATCTCAAGTCCGCCAGTGGTTGAACTTCAGAGCCTACGGCGATCCTTTCCCCAAAGCCGATGATCCTGTGACTGGATATCGGTCGGCCTCCTTGAAGAAAGCCAAGCAGGCCGTGAGCTTCTACATGCCGAACAAGAATCTTCCTTGGATGGACGGACACGGTGGTAATCCTTGCCGACACATCAGTCTCATCGATTTGATCAAGAAGGCTGAACGCAAGGAGACTCGCGAAGAAGGCAGGGCAGCCAATGACAAGCGTCCATACACCAAGGCTGAGTTCGACAAACTGTTGCAGGTTCTCCGTTGGGCCCCTCCACCCAACAACAACATCACTCACCGCTTGAAGTTGCCGCTCATGACTCTTTGGGCCTACCATCTCATCCACCACTTGGATGACACCTGTCATTTTAAGGTGGATTCCCCTCATGGATCCGTGGAGTTCCCCTTCGCTCTCATGACTCGCACGAAATGGTCGAAGAACGTCCGAAACATTGGTCAGTGTCCTGACCAGATCATCTTCGCCTCTGGTGATTGGAAGAACTGCTGCCAGCTGTGGCTTGCCGTGTACTTGGAGAAGTGGTTGAATCTTCACCCTCACGTTAACTTCCTTTTCACAGCAAACGCTCATCGTGAACAGGGCCCAATAACTTCTTGAGAGGATCAGGGTAGATCCACAAGAGATGAGGATGGCCACAGGGCCTCCTCTGCTTACAGAGTTTCCAGCTCCTGGAGCTGGTACCGATGTTATTCTATCACGATGCTGGGCAGCCTAGCGAATGCTATCAGCTTACCTACTCAATCCACTGCTCAGCCTCAACAGGGATAGGTATCTACTGCAAAGAACAAGGGAGCTACAGGTCTATGGAGATGGTATTCAATTCATACATTCATTCTTAGGAACTATGAGCAAAAAGATCATCCAAATAATTGGGTGTTATGTCAGGATATGAGCACTCTGAGCCACACTGAGGACTCCTGGATCCTCATGAGTCACCTGATTGAGAAGATGCTCGCCTCATGGCCTTCTGGGGTGATACAGTGGTAAAACCTTCATATGGGACTTATGGGGCTTCCCTGGTCCATATGGTATTGGCCTGTTCTCACCAGTACCAACCAAGTTCTCTATCTCTTTGCTTGTTCCACATACCATGTGGGTACCAGTAACATAGAGGCAGACAGTTGTTCTCACACTCACCACTTTGATCCCATGGATCCAACCCACATTTTTATCGCTCCCCTACATCGGATTCATCCGGGGTGAGGTGTGTCCAGGGTATTCCCTTTCCCAGAACATCACTGCTCGGAGCATTGGACAAATCTGAGAATACACTCAAGTGCTTCGTGAGAATTCAGCCGGGTTGATTTCTTCCTGGGATGTGATGGAAGTGAGATGTTTCCTGCTGCATGCTTTCGCCTAACAAAATGGTAGGCCAGTGCGTGATGCCTGTTCTTGAGCGGGGAGTGGGGCTGTGTCGAGTTGTGCAAACGGACCCATTGTCTCCGAACATGATATGTGGGGCCTTGCACTGTAACACCAAGGTATCTCAATTTGATACGGGCAGCGACAGCTTGTTGGGAAGCTAATCTTTGCCGCAACAAACTCGGAACCATAAGTCGCCACTTCGACGTGGCCCTGCTTCTTACAGTACCATATCAAAGGGAGTCTGATTCACGTAGTGTAGGACTCAAGTGACGGCTCTCCCCGTCACCAATCTGGTATAAGTTGGCATCCACGTATGTGGTGAAGACCACCGGCTTGCCTTTGGGAGCAGGTGCGTCACCAGGGATTTCCTCTTCAGCTCCTTGTACACTGTCTTTGTCCAGTCATACTTCCTGACTTACAACTGGGAGTAATCCGGAATAGCGGTTCGTACACGGATGACTCCATGCTTCATCTTGAACAGGTAACCGGTAATCCTATTCAATCGATCCAGGTGGACAACACGGGGAGCTACTCGGAACGAGGAAAGCGTCATGACGGCAACTCCAACATCAAACCTTCCAAGGGAAATCGCCCACTGGATTCCTCCCTTCGGGCCTGGTCCTTGGGTTGGCTCCCCCTCGCTCCCCCCGTGGCGGCCGTCTCCGCTCCGGGTGCTCCTTCTTTCTTCCCCCGGCCGGTCCCCTTGGGTGGCCGGCAGGG